CATGTGTGTGCGCAAGATTGCTTTCTTTCACCAATTTCACTTTGTCTCCAATTGCAGCATTTACGGAACGCTGCTCAAATGTGACTGGACAGAAGCTCCTGTGGATGAACCACATCTATCTTGGATATGTTGGAGCCAATTTTTGCAACATGCGCACATTCTGAGACCAAACGTGAAAGCGATGACGTTCAATTTTGTCACTGGGATGGAAAGATGATCAACTTGTTTCACAAGCAAAAACACGTTTTGGGGTAGAGCTAGGCTAAGATAATCGTGTTGGTTTGATGTGAGGTCAGCAAATAGCTCGGGTGTCGTTGCCTTTTTATCGTAACAAACCAGTTGCAATTTGGACAAAGAGTGTGTGTACAATTGTCAGCCTGGCGGACGTTTTTGTTGTTGTTTTTCTTTTCGGTTCATTGTGAGTTCTCGTTCACTTGTCTCACAGCCTAGTGGGAGACTTTGACCGAAACAAAAAAAAAACAGGATGTAGCATCTTCACGCCTACTCACAGAAGTGACAGTTTTGCCCTGTTTTGTTGCTGCGTCAAAGATTGCCTGAGGAAGGCACAAGGGGGAGGTTTACCTTTTTGTGCAGTAGGCTTTGTAACATGAAGACTTTTTTCTTCAATATTTAAAAACTGTTCCATCAAATTCATTGAATTTGCAGCTATGATATGAAGCTGGGTTGGTTGTGATTTTTTTCAAGAGTTTCTTGATGTTACTTAATAGATGAAATAAATTCACCAATGCCTAGCTGAGAGTTAATTTGGATTAGCATCTCATTGCCCGTACTAACGAGGATGCGAAGCACTTTCGCAGTTTCTTAGTTATTTTTATTACTTTTATTTTATCGGCAGTCACCTCCTGTTTCCATTATCCTCTGAGGAAATGACTCGTGTACCTGTACTGTATAGTAAACCGTAAATGTGTCTCAGCGTGACCCTGACAACCAAAACCGGCTGCGGCAAGTTTCTCTTCCCCCCCCCACAAAGTGGCTGTCAGCTTGTCTTTCCCACTCTGTGTGCAACTACGCTGCCTCCTGACCCTGCACACTTCCTGCTCATGTTTCACTTTTATGCACCTTCTTGTCAAGCGAGACAACAGCTCTCTGTGAGTGTTTTTCAGCCTTCTTTATGCTCTCGTTGCCCACTCGTGTACAGGTGAAGTGCATGTAGTGTGCTGGATTTATGTAGCTTTTTTAGAGGGGTTGTTTTTTATTTTGTTCCAGTGACTGGAATATGAAAGTGATATTTGGTGCAGGACCGTTTGGCAAGCCACGTTTTGGGAGCTCGTCAATATTTACGGCGGTGATCCGTTTGGAACAGGTGCCTTGAAGATGCAGGAATTTTGACATGCTCGTTTTTGTCAACCAGAATTTGTAGGTTGCATTTCGTTTAATGTTGCTGTAGCGTAAGAATTTCTCAATCGGGTCGTGAGCATATTGAGCAGCCAATTGGAACCTTTTCAGCCCCATGGCAGACAAAGCACTCTGTGGTCTCTTAAGTCCCGATGTCATCTCAGTCCATTTTCAAGTGATTAGCACTGAGGCTCTCACATCATGACCATCGTTTACCAGAAGCTATAAACAAGTTTGTTTTGGTAGCCAACACCCTTGAGTCTGCCCTGGCATTGCCTGCCTTGTTTTTATTGAAAAGTTCCCAAAGGGTTCTTTGTGTGTGTGTGTGTGTGTGTGTGTGTGTGTGTGTGTGTGTGTGTGTGTGTGTGTGTGTGTGTGTGTGTGTGTGTGTGTGTGTGTGTGCGCGTGTGCGTGAACAACAATAATAACGGTAGCTGTGTGATAACGTTTGTTTGGTCTGTGATAGGAATTCCAGTGGGAACGCTAAGGTAGCATTTATTTCTTAGCGCCCATCACCAAGACATGGTCGCATGCTAACATCACTAAGCACCACCCATCAGAGGATTCTTGAACACTTGCTTCATGTTCTCATATACACGCAAGCATACGTCGGCATGGTTCCCTTTGTATCTGCGGTCCTGTGCGCGGCTTGGGAGAACAGAAGTGGCATTGAGCAGAGGAGTCGGAGGAATTTTTACGCTGCAATGGTTGCTCGTGGTCAGACGGCCACTCTGCCTCCTCCTCTTCAAATACCAAGCGGCCTCCTTTACTTTCCCTCTTGCCCCGGCTTGTTTTCCTCTCCCTATTGTTCATTGTAACGCATCTCGCCAGGGTCTCCACGCTCACTTTCTCCTCGTGACACAGTCCGGTGTTTACAAAAGCCTTACCGAGGTGTTTAAAATGTATTAGAAAGCAGAATACAGTGTACGAACCCAGGGCATGGGTGTACAAAAACTATTTGTTAACTGAGTGGTGGCAGTGTGATGGTGTGGGGCTGCTTTGCTAGCTCAGGACAACTTGCTGTGATTGATGGGACAATTAATTCTGCTGTCTAGTAGAAAATCCTTCAAGAAAAATTCCGAACACAGCCGCAAGTCCACCTTAAGGTTTTGGAGTGGCCGAGTCAAAGTCTGGATTTGAATCCAATCGAGCTGCTGTGGTGTGACCTTAAATATGCAGTTCATGCTAGAAAGCCCTCCTGAGAGAGGGACAGTAGTGAGTTTGTAATGAGTCAGTTGAAGATTAGGCATCCTGTTGTCACTGACTCAAGTGTGTGGTTATACAATGGCTGGGCTGTGCTTTATACGGACAAAACGATGTACATGTATTCAGGAAAAAGCTTTGCTGGGTGTATTTAAGAGACCCCCCCCCCCCAACTCCCTCTGTAAAGGGACCTCCCTAAAGTGTGTGGCTATTAGAGCAAAACAGTTGAATCCCGTTCCGGTGTTTGAAACGGATTATAGGAGGAAATGATAACGTGTGAGCGATACGGCGCAGAGAAGTAAAGCTGCCATTGTGATGTTGCAAGGCAGGTTTCCCCTTGTTGCTCTCGCACTACAACGCAGCCTCCACCAACCCACCCAACCCGTGCCCATATTAGGGCAAAATGTAAGCAACCTCCTGGCAAACGTGCTCAACCCCCAACACGATACGCTGTCACATTTGCTCCAGTGAAGGGAACCCATGAGAGGCCACTGCTCCCCTAACCCAATTTGAAGGCCCATTTCCGCTGCCACAAAAAAAAAAACTCATAGATTTAAAAAAATAATTGCTAATGTTTTTGGTGTGTTTGTTTGTTTATTTAAAGGGGATTAACTTAAGCAGCGCTTGACCAAATGCTGCTTGAGGGTTTTAATAAAAAGCTGGTCTTTTAATTTGTGTCGTTTCATGAGCCGGGGTTCCCACGGTGGCAGCCAACAATGGCCACTGCTGCCCCTAAATAACGGTGACGCCCAGTCACTAGTCTTACACCATATTGTGCGATATATGTTCATTTCATGCATCAGTCTTGTGGTAATTTTGGCGGGTCTTCACCTTGTCATGCAGCGATAATGACACGTTTGAACATGAACGCTTTCTGAAGTCCCTCGCTAGTTTTCTCTCACCCATTGAAAAGCCCCCCTGAGCTGTAACCAATCTGTCAGCCAATCGTAGGCTGTCGTCATGCAGAATTGCAGACATGACTCGTTACAGTCGCAACAGCCTTCCAGCCTATTGAACTTGAACTCACCCGACCCTTTTGTGACCGCTTGCGTTTGAAGACTACAACTCCTAATGAGCCACATGGGTCCCCTTCTCGCATCTCCTGTATGGCTACTGTACGTCTTGCTGATGCTAATGTTTGGTTCTCTTGCTGCAGAAGGAGGGGTTGGGGGGGGGGTTGTCCCACATAGTAGGACTGGCACTGACTGCGTTATTTGTGCACAAACGATCCCCTTGCGTGACCTAGAACTGACCTGAAGTTCTTCTGCTGGATTTGATGCTCAATCATGTAAATAATTGATTTCCATGTTCAAAGCTGAACATCTGCAAACAGAACAGCTGTCACGCTATGTGGCAGTGGGAGCAAAGTATGGACGATCAAGGCAGCCGCTTAAAAAATAGTATATATAAAAATATAAATGCTCTCCGCTCTCCAGTATATCGATATTGTGATTTAAAACACCTGCTGTGAAGACCGGCAGCTATGCTCGCGGCTGTTCTTACTTTCTCCCTAGAATGACAGTTATTTTGTCGACGGTGAGTTTAAATATTCATCTTGTCTGTCTGCTGGCAGTCCATTTGAACGAAGTGGCATAGAAGTGAACGTGAAAGAGGAAAAGGAAGTCAGCAGGGTCGAAATAGGAAGGAGAAGAGCCTGTCTGCGGACGGGATGAGCTGCAGCGAAAGTGGAAAATGGGACGTGGTTTAAGGAGTCAAATGTTTGACGATGGAGCATCTGTTCGCTTCGGTGCCCAAGCCAGGCTCTCCACTTGGCATTTTGGCAATGCTGCAATTGTAAGAAGTTATGCGTGAATGTGTGCGTGCCTCGCGTGGCGTGCGGGTGACATGTGTGAGACGATAGAAAGCAGCAACACACTATCGTAGCCTTGTAAGGAGAGATGGCTTCATGCGATCAGGGTTTTTGGGGTCGATCGGCGATGAGAAGGTTTGGAAAAAAAAACGATACTCGGCATGATCGACTCGATCAGTTCGGTGTCAAGTCTAAAAGAGAGCATCCACTGTGAGCACCACCAATTTATCTTGCACACATTAGCTCACAATTCGTCTGGTTTCTCTTCCCACCCCTGAGGAGTTGCATTGCATCCCAGTGACCATTAGGAGCCGGGCCATTGATATTTGATACTTCAGTGGACAAGAAGCAGGCGGAGGCTTAATCAGCTCTATTTTGGATACAGTGGAGTCAATTTCAGTTTTGAATAATTCAGTGATGTGTGCATGTGCGCGCTGTCTGAACGCGTGCATGAGTCAGGAGGAAAAAAAAAAAAAAAAAAGAGGGGGAAGTGTGTTTCATGCGGAAAGTTGATCGCGGGCGGCAGATGCACATACTTGTTAAACGCCCTGTGTGATTTGTTTTGCTTTCCAGTGTCGTTTGCCCTCAGACCACGTTGTTTCAAGCCATTTGTTTTTCTCTCTTGTTTCAGAGAAGGACAACACGGATGATCTTGACAGCAACCTGAGGTCCTGCACCAGAGAAGGTAAAACACACCGACGAGTAATGCAATGCAGTAAGTCAAGAAATGTGTGGCCCTTCCGCCTGTTTTGCAAGTGTGAATCAAACCCATTTGTTGATGATCAACTCACGGGAAATATATAAGAGCTGTAATCAATTGGACAATGAATCACACTGACCTTTAATCACATCATTTGATTAAGCAAGATGGCACAAAGAGCAAGGATGACTTTTGGCACTCCTGTGTATTTCGTTTCACAAGAGACTGTGTACATCGCTTTCGTTGAGACATTTTCAACATTAAATCCTCATTGCAATTGGTTTGAAGTTTTTTGTTTTGTTTTGTTTCCCTGAGGTGTCATGAGCATGAGTTTAAAGTGATTTTTAACGCAAATGCCGTTTTCATCAGGTGTCGAACTTCAACCTAACGTTTCACTTTCCTTTTAATTGTGACATGCTGCAACCACATCAAGACTGCCTCAACTGAAGCCACTAGAATCCCCCCTTCCCCCCATTAATGCACAAACATGCAGTGACATTCTTTTTGTTCCCCAAGGGGTTCATTTTAATTCTGTTGTTTAGGAAGTGACATAATTGCATTCCAACAGAGTGGAAAGACTTTTGAGATCTTTCTGAAGGGGAATTTTGTTTAGTTTGTTTTTTTTTCTTCAGATCTGGTGTTAAAATAATGAAACTAATTACATGGTTTGTTTAACTGCCAGCTCATCCAGAAGTGGGGCAAACCAGTTGTTACCTGAGGGTAGTTAAAATCCTGCCGGACTCGTAACAAAATTAAGTGAAGCAGTGGAGGAGCATGTTTGAAGCCGCAGGCGGTAGACCACATCCACGCCAGTTCAGCCCACCCCCCCCCCAACCCCTAAGAACCTCACAAAATCGAATCAGCACTGCCCCCTTCTGGTGTGATCACGCATTTAATCAGCTGGGGGGCGGGGGGGGGGGGGGCTGGTCTTGAACTTGCATCGTAATCCAATCCAAGACTTGCCTGGGAATCAAAGCTATATCTGTAGCAGTCTGCAGAATGCAGTTTTGTTTCATGAAGATGATGATTTGTCTGAATGTGTGGAGAGCTCAGCACGAGGAATGAATAGCAGGACTGACTTTAGTCGTGGCTTGCTGAGGGGCCGCACAGAGAAATGCAGTGTGATCATCATGTGCCCACTGGAAGCACACTATGTCTTTTGTTGTGACTTCACACTGTCATTTGATTCTGGCAAATTGCATCTTTGTGGAGGCAAAGAAAGACTCACTCTCTCTAGAAAGCTGCTCAATGTGCAGTTTCATTGACCGTCCCCGCTTTATTCCCTTCTCGTTTCTCAGTTGACATTTTGATGACGACTCAAGCCGCTCGCCACGGATTGCTGTTCAAACTCAATGACGCCGTTCCCATTTTTAGCCATGTGACGTCCGACGTGACGCGTCCTCTTTTCCATGGCCTGAGCTCGTGCCGGCGACAGTCCAATGAAATTGCTCCCTCCTTCGCGGACTTTTGCTTCCAATAAAATATTTATAGAGAAAGTGCCATTTAAGTCTCGGCCGCGCGGCTTTGTTTAAAAAGGCCCTAATCCAGAAAGGATCCGTGCAATTTAGTCTAGAAGTGCCACACGGTAGACTGTCAAAATAGTTTGGGTGTGAAACCTATTTTCAGCAATTAAAAAAAAAAAAAAAAAGAAGGCTTTTATTTTTAAGGATAAATGGTGAAATTCTTCAGCTTTGTATTCATCTATTCAAGCCTCCATTTTTTTTTTTTTGTGGTGACATTGTACGCACAAAATCCGATTGCTCATCTTGGTAAATCCTACAGTGACCAGCACCATGAAAATTTTTCATGTACTGCCTGCATTCATTTGTTTTGTGTGTTTTACGACTATTTTGCCCATCAGGTTTGCTGGGATGGGTAACCTGCTAAAAGTCCTTACAAGGGAAATAGAGAACTATCCCCACTTTTTCCTGGACTTTGAAAGTAAGTCTGGCAGAGGAGTGGTGAAAAACGGGTGGAAAGAGGAGAAGATTATTTCCTTTCTGTTTGCAGGTTTCCTTCATGCTTTCTCTTCGCACAGACACGAAACTCGACTCTCAACTCCAATCCGCCGTTTCTGATTCTGTTTAAAAAAACGTTTAAACATCACTTCCGCTTTTCTTCCTTTTTCCTCCTCCCCCTGTGTGTCTGTTCTCTCTCTCTTTCTCTCTCTCTCTCTCTCTCTCTCTCTCTTCACTCTTCTCTCTCTCTTCTCTCTCACTCTCTTGCAGAAGCCAAATGGGGAATCTGTTAAAAGTGCTCACTTGCACCGAGCTTGAACAGGGGCCAAACTTTTTCCTTGACTTTGAAAGTGAGCATAGCCTGTCTTTCTGTGAGGCCAAAGTCATTTTTCCGAAATCCCTCCCTCTCTACTCGCAAGAGCTCAAGGGTCAACGTATTCCCCTTTTGGATTGGCCGACGATTCTCTTTTTTGGGGGGGGTCCGACGCTGATTAAAATCCAGCCTTTGTTGTCATAATTGATTTTGGTATGCTTTCCAAATTCTTTTCCCTCAATCCGAAATTGACTGAAAATTGAGTTGACCCTTGACCTTAGCAGTCTGCTTTAGCTCTCTTGTGCATGTGTGCTCTGCTAGTTTGGGAAACAAGCATTGGTGTAATCCAGCGATGTGTTATCAATTATTATTATTTCAATTGCTTTTTTTTTTTTTTTTTAAGGTACCGGTATTCCTATATTGGTTGTTGCCATGAACAAACTCCATTACACTCAATGAGAGCCTGTGAACAGCAAATAATAAAGTACTCACTCCATACACATATGTCAACTGTAGGCGGGGGCTACAATGAATGCTTTAAATTGATTGACAGCCTTTTAAACTGCCCGTAAGTAACGTCATTTGACTTTGATTGGAAACCAGATTTTTCTTGCCCCAGAATTATGTCTCCACTGCGGCATTTCATCCAACCTCGGTCTTTGTTTACCCGGTAAAGAGGAAATGATGGGGATAACGGGAAGGATTTTGAAATATAAAACAGACGCCAGTCAGGACAGTCGGAATGTCAGCGATTGGCTATATTTACAGGAGCGAGTTTGGCTCTCCGTGGCTGCGACGAGCCGAGATTTAAAATGACATCAGGTATTACTGTTCGACTTGACCCCATGCTCGCTCACACTTTGGTGGTCGATTTCCCCGTAGTGTGAGCGAGCCATGTTGACAGGATACGGGATGTCACTCACCAGCCGCAACTTTGGTTTCATCTTGAGTGAGTGTGCAGGCCTCGTTTAGAATTGTGCTGCTCTAGACATGGTCAAAGGAAATTTGTTGACCAAAAAAAAGGAAAAGAAATATCAACTTGCTAATGGACATTAGGTAATGAAACGAAAACACAAGACACAAAATACTATTTTGGGACACATAATACGCAAGTGAGAGGAAGGATTTTGTCCTCTTCTGCTGTCATATTTGCTGTCGCATGTCTTGTCCGGGCTGCCGTGGAAGCACACGCGTTCACTGCAGTCGAACATTTCGAGTTTCTCCAACCTGATGAGCGTGCCATTTCTTCAGCTCTTGGCTTGATTTGCGTTTGTGGCGCCAGGTCACGTGCCAAGAGCTGAAAATGGTTCCTGCAGTGAAGTGGCGCTGTAGATTTCTTTTTTTTTTTTTCCGTTCTGCTGTACGTTTTCGCACGTCATTGGACAGTTGGCCAAATTATTTCAGTGGTGAAAGCATTCAGCATACTTTCCCCTTTCAGCCTTTCGTGATCATATCATTGTCTTTTAAACCTGTCTCAATACTCGGTGCTCAACTTGAGTATAAATTTGTACAGATTCCCACTGAACTGCAATGCTAATCGACTGTCAGCGTCGGTCCATATATATCTGCGTGTTTGCTTTGTGTATGTCTCCACTTTAGATGCGCAGCCCACAGAAGGAGAGTGTGAAGTCTGGAACCAGGTGAACGCCGTCCTTCAGGACTCCGAAAGCATCCTGTCAGGTCTGCAGGCGTACAAAGGAGCCGGACAGGAGATCAGAGATGTGAGGAGACCTGCGACCACCTTCAAATCTATTTTTGTCCGCTAACGTGTCGATGATTATGAACATTTCAATGTATAGTCAAACCTTGAGCGGCAATGAAGGCCCCCCCCCCCTCCCCTCTCATGCTCATATGGGTATTGTATTTTCTCTTTAGGCAATCCAAAACCCAAGTGACTTCATGCTTCAGGAACGAGCCTGGAACTCAGTGTGCCCTCTTGTCATCAAACTCAAGAAGTTCTACAGTTTCTCTCTGCGACTAGGTGTGTGGCAGCGTCGGGACCTTTTTCGGGTTTCAGCAGAGACCAACAGTCGGGATTTTATGTTTGAGTGCAGAGGAGGCTCTAGGGAGTTTGTTGGAGTCCCTGACATGTCCACCCTGCACACCCACCCAGCACCTCGAAAAGGAACAGGCGCTGGCCAAACAGTTTGCAGAAATCCTCCACTTCACTCTGCGCTTCGATGAGCTCAAGGTGCCAAACGATGTGATGTACGATTTTGTCCTTGGCAGCTTGACTCGTTGATTGTTTTGACCTCAGATGAGGATTCCCGCCATCCAGAATGACTTCAGCTACTACAGAAGAACCATCAGTCGAAACCGGATCAACAATATGAATGTAAGCTGCTCCCACACACAATGAATAGCGTGAGCTCCACCACCAATCATGAGTCATACTTCTAAGACTGACCCGCGACAGGATGCCGTCTTGACCGCGGCGCATTTACAATCGGGATTCTCGAACATGTTGAATGTGATCATTTTCCCAGCAGTTCCCATTCCATCGAGACGTCCGATAATCTGGCCTCTGCCGACCTTGCTCGGTGGTTTCTCGATGGTCTCCCAATCCAAAAAGCAAAGATGAGTTTGCGTTTTGTTTTTGAAGCATTTTTCTTTCATTGTGACTGTGCAGCTGGATATTGAAAACGAAGTGAATAACGAGATGGCCAATAGGATGTCTCTGTTTTACGCCGAGGCCACGCCGATGCTAAAAACGCTCAGCAACGCAACCACAAACTTTGTGAGCGAGGTAAGATAGCTTCATTTTAGTAATTCCCGCGTTGCAAGCGATGTCGAAAATATTCACTAATACATTCATTGTTTGCATTGTTCATCACGCGCACCATACATTTTGGTTGTTTTGGCATTAGACGTCAAGTGATCATATTTTCTATGATCGGTTTTGATTTGCGTCATTTTGCAGAACAAAACTCTTCCACTGGAGAACACGACGGACTGTCTGAGCACCATGGCCAGCGTCTGTAAAGTCATGTTGGAGACACCGTGAGTTCATATAAGAATGGCGCATTTGCTTTTATTTTGACAGAGCCATTTAGCCCAAAGCAAAACAATTTTTCAAAAATGAAATTAAGGTTAAGGTTGATGTATTTTAAGGAAATACAGAAAACAGGAACAAAGTAGCATATTTCTATAGCACTATAAATAATACAGAGAAACGAAACGGGTGAGAAATAAAGGCGCGGGCGTGCGTGTATTTTAGAGGCCATTGGCTCCATCCCACACGCTTGAAAGACATTTTAACGGAAACGTACACATCACCTTCTGTGTACAGGGAATATTCAAGTCGTTTTAGCAGCGAGGACACTCTCCTATTCTGCATGAGGGTCATGGTCGGCGTGATCATTCTCTATGACCACGTCCACCCCAACGGTGCCTTCAACAAGTCCTCCAAGATCGACGTAAGTCCAACCCGCGGAACCACACGCTCCACGCGTCGCCGCGCTGCGATTCAGCCCTCACGTGATGATTGTCTCACCAGATGAAAGGCTGCATAAAAGTGCTGAAGGACCAGCCTGCAGACAACGTCGAAGGCCTGCTCAATGCCCTCAAGTAGGTCGCTGCCTTTTTGCACACACTCATGTTCAATTCAGGGGTGGAGGGAGAAAAGTACTTGAATTGAATACTCATTCAAGCATGTTAAAATGCTCAAGAATAACAATTAAAACCACAAAACAATTTGTTTAGTTGGCCCGAAAACAGCTGGGATAGGCTGTGGCACGCCCGCGACCATCCTGAGGATTAAATAACGCACGTGTGTCTCTCTTTTTTTTTTCCTCTCCAGATTCACCACAAAACACCTGAACGACGAGTCCACTCCCAAAAACATCCGGTCGATGCTCCAGTAATTTGAAAATGTTTAATCTTATCAAAATGAAGAGGATGGATGTTCTGACCTCAAATTAGATGGACATGTTTACATTATTTAAAAGACCTGTTAACACTTTGCATATAGTCCTTCTCTCCGGGTTAAAGGTGCACTCGACGACAGGAACATTTCCCGCTTTGATAATTAACAGCTGAGAAAGCATTTCTCACTCCTGTCAGCCTTACTTAATCGGGGTTTCGTCTTAAAATCTCCCACTTTTTTCACGCGCTTCCTTACACGCACACAAAACGGTCAAATATTTGACTTGCCAGCCATTTGTGGACAGAATGAGATCAATCAAAGACTTGGCGAGCTGCGGAGGGCGGTGAGGGACCGGCGGCTTGTATGGATCGGCACAAGGATTCTCACGTTCACGTTTTTTTTTTCTTTGCCCCGTCCTGGAGTACATGTTGATGTGAATCTCGAACTGCACATTGCATGTGTGTGAGAGGATAAGATAGCATGTACTCCACACAATCAATAATGCGTGGCGCTTTCACCGATTTGCTTCTTTTGTTTGCGTAAAAAAGAAAGTCAGGCCAAAAATGTGTTTAAATTATGCTTGATGTATTTTTTTACCTAAACACTCCCTGCCCAACCCCCCCGGTTTGTGTTCTTATTTCACTCTGGTTAATATATTGATCACTTTTGAAAGATTTTTTTATGCCTTGTCTGTGTGTGAGGGGAAGGAATTAATGTATTTGTAAATTATTACCAAGATTTCTTTTTTTTTTTTAATGTTATGAATTTGTATTCCGCTCCCGTCCCCCAACTGTCTTTTTATTGCCTTAAAACAAACATTTCGATTCACTGTAACTGTCTTAAAACGGATCTGCTGTGTCCAACGTCATGTTGATGGCAACTGTCATTGATCATGGGGTCATGAGACCAGCGTGTTCTTGGCATTTGCTGATGGAGTGACTCGGAATCAGCTCGGTTATCAAGCCTTCTTTTATCGCTCATCCAGCTGGTTCCGCTAACATTGCATCAGGGAGCTCCTCAAACGAGACTGGACAATCACATCATTGGTGACTGTTGGACTTCATTTAAATTCGGTGATTTTTGTTACGATCTGACTTGATTGCCATTTCAAAAGCCGTGATTGCCATTTCAAAAGCCGAAGTCAATTGAATCGCGGTATTTGTAATAATATGTTCTGTGTGAGCGTCACGCGGCCGAAGCCAGAAAACGGGTGAGCCGCGACGTTCGCAATCCGAGCCCGTGGGCACTGTGACTTCAATTTCAGTCGACAGCAGGGGGCAATAGGGACAAAAATAGCAGCCCCAAACATGGATAGAAACGGCTGCATTTCTCTGCTTAGTTTCTCCAAACGCTTTACAAATTAGGATACCGTGTTTGAACTGGTGGCAGCATGTCGAACGTATTATTGCAAAGATTTCTTTTTTTGACTTTCACTTTAAGCCTTAAAGAGCAAGCATCATGAAACACCCCAAAATCGGAATTACATTTGACTGAAGCTACACTGTACCTGTTTATGATTCAATTCTAAGTCACTGAACACTCGGATGTCTCGTTCATTCTGGACACTGTCTTGTGCGATATCATTTGTATGCGGACACGTGAGCCATACTTTTTAGATTTGACATAATGTGTTCATCTGTGTCATGACAACATGTAGCTTTTGCCGTCATGATCACGAGACATACCAAAACATCTCCTGTGGGCCCTTGATATGCTACTGTGTTGAATGCAGGACTGGGTCAAAACATGTTTGTTTCTTGTTTTTTTTTTCTTTGGGGTGGGGGGGCGGGGGTTAAACCGTTTGTGGATTAGTTTATGAAGTCAATTGCCTCGGCTTTGTATTGTTTTGCTGAATGGGTTGTGTGAATTGGATAATAAAGGTGGTACATTTCATACTCCCCTCGCTTTATTAAAAGATATGAACATAGTTTGCATCTTCATCTTTTGGCACACCAATCCAGAGGTGGTAACATCCAGATCCTGAAAAGTCACAGTTTGGCTCAGTTGCTTCTGCTTAAGTGCTGGTTGACCTGCCGGTTGAGGAGGAAGCAGCTGTGGCCAAAGCCAAACTGTGGCCGGGTTGCCCATCTCTGCAAGGATCCAAATCACCTCGGCCGTTCGGTCTTCCAAAATGAGCTCTCGCAGCAATCCTATGCCTCTAAATTTAGCTGTGCTTTCCTTAGTCTCCCTGCAGGTGGCCATGCGTGTCAGTCCACGTAGTGTGTGAGTGACAGAGGGAGAGTCCAGGGCTGAAACTCAAACAGCGGTGCACCTGCAAGAGGAAGTCATGTTGGACAGAGTGAGTTTTCTCAATCTTATGTATTGGAAGTAACACAAATGAAGGTCAAACTCGGGATGTAATAGAAACTAACACAAAAGCACACTACTTTTGAACACGTTGTTACCTCTTCATTTATTTGGGCCATTTATTCCTTGCTCTGCGTTGACACGATGACGACTTACTGGGAAGACTCCTGTTGGAGCGCTGGGAAGCCCTGAGCGCTTCCACGCTCAGCCTGGGCACCGTCGTCCTCACTGGACCCGGACGCTTCCCGGCGTTGCAACGGACCTGGCGCAGCAGGATCTCTCCTTCCTCCTTGGTGATGGGGTAGTTGTGAGTGTGAGATGCCCACTGGGGTCGAGACTCGGTCTGAAGAGGAGGAGGAGGAGGAGGAAAAGGAGGCTGGGGTCTGCTGCTTGAAGTGAGGAACATCTGTGGGAAACAAAGGAGACAATATCTTGAAGAAGCATATTTTTGGCCGCTTCTTATCTTCGCCGTGTCGGGGTCATGGTCACGGGGGGGGTTATTGTCGCAGTGATAAATGAAGCGTGCTTTACCAGTGATTTGGCTTTCCGCAGTTTGTAAGTGGTCTCCGACACCGTTTTCTGTCTCCTGTCGTCTGGCTCCTCCGTTTTACGCCCACATGTGGTTGCTCTGCTTTTCGTCTTCCTGGAGACGCACAAGAGTCTTGATCGACATACGCCCAGAAACCAGAAAGCTGCTTGCTGCCTTACGCCGCGCTAGTTTGTCCGACAGGGTCCGAGTTGTCCAGGTAGTTGAAGCGGACGATGTCTTTGGGACATCTGTCCGAGTCTCTCCAAGGTGGAAGCACAGTTGCATGCTTGTCCTTTTTGAATCTGCTCCTGGACGTAACTCCGACATCCTGGTTGGTGGATCCCTGAAGCCCCTCACTCAGGGAAACCCCTTGTGACACGTCCTCACGCCTCCCGCCGACTCCTGCTGCATCTTGAACCGCTGTCTGCTGCTGTGGCCAGGCGGCCTGCAGCTGGGTGATATGTTTCAGACCACAACGTTTATGCTCAAGGGCTACCATTGATGGACACGTGAGCCAGGCATTTGAATAATAAAATAATGTATTCTAGGTTATCATCCATCAATAATTGATTTGTTATTATTAGGTGAAGCAAATACACAATTGTTTCCTCAGAAAATAATCCTGATTTCTTGGAGACCTTTTTGGTCGGTGCAGCGAGCAGAATCTCTTGCACGCTGTTGATGTAGTGCCTCTTCCACACACCCTGCTCAAACACCGTAGGGGAGAAGCTGATGAACCAGCCGAGTCTCAGACACTTGGGCATCCACAGCTGGTCCAGTTCCACGATGCTTTTCCAGTGCCAGCTCACCTGTCCTCACGGGAACAAACCCTCCGTCAAGCATTGCATTGGGGCATGTTTGTCACTTGCCTTTTTTTTTTGTGTGTGTGTTGCTTCCTCCTTACCCGCGCACAGCGACAGAGGCTGCGTGGGTCCAAGAAGGAGAAGATGTAGAGGCAGATGGCTCTCGGCAGCAGGCACGTGAAGTCAGCGGCCAGCAGGGGGAGCTGTCGACTCACGCAGCGCTCGACAAAGCGGAGCTGCTCCTTGGAGCAGCCCTCGACGAAGTCGCGCAGCACCAACCTCCTCTGCCTGTCAGACCACCTGGCAAACTGACGAGCACGTGAAAGGTCATCAAATCGAGACGCCCCACCGGAGTCTGAGCACAAATGCACACGCTTGACGCTTTTGAATTCACGTACCCACTTTGCTAGAAGGCTTCGCCTCTCCTCAAAAACCTGAAAGAGAGAAAGTCACACGGATGTTCATTTTCATGTCTTTTTGTTTCGGTTGCTGTTTGTGGGTTCATGGTACATGTAATGCATTTCTGTACTTGACAGTCAAAGCAGTCATTAGGCACTTTAATGCAGTCACGTGTATGAGATCTACATGGGGCCAATGCAGAGAAATTGATGATTGGATCCATTTCTCATCATTTTTCCCTTGTGTTTACACTCTGTGCTATTATGTTTCAGGGCAAAAATGCTGTGTGTTCATTGCTGTAGCGTGACCTTGTGTTTGTGACATGAGGTATGCGAAACTTATTTGCCATCTTTTTGCTGCGCTTCATCCACCCAAAATGCCATCTTATGGGGACGATTCTTCATTTCCTGACCTTGCTGTTGGACAGAGAGTGGTTCAGAGGTGTCCAGGCGCTCATCTTGGTCTGCATTCTAGCAGGACTTGCAGAGGGCCTCGTCGCATGCAGCATCTTCTTGCTCATCTGGAGACACGGCAGTGATAACATGTTCAAACAAACACATGTTCAGGGCATTTGAGTTGTCTTTTCCCACACGTGTGAGAGTCTGCTCAGCCAGCCGTACGTCTCCCATTGTGAGACGAAGCATGCATTCTGTCAGGGCTGTGTTGTTTTGTTTTGAAGCCATTGTTACCTGTAGGACACATTCCCATAGTTTCAAATGGAAAATTCCAATTCCTTCTTGATGTTGCAAACTTTGTGCGTGCGCGCGCGCGCGCGCACACACGTGGATTTTGTTGCAACGGACTCTGACATACACATGACTACCTACGCATACACGCTCTGTGATTAAACTCACCAACATTTCAGGCAGGATGAATAAATCCAAGATCTAAACACATTGTTACTTCTCTTAACTTCGCTCCATGGCTTGAGCATCCAACTGAATAACCCGACCTCCCAATTCTCCTGTGCATGGTTTACATGTTCCCATAGTAACCGTGACTGTGCTTTCCGTACACAGACTGGCTGCCAGAGCATGTCACGTACCCAGGGGGTGCTGGGGTGTGTGCACTATGAAGGCGTCAGTGGTTCAAATGTTGTCAAAGAAGCTTTGATGCTGCAGCTGCACACGATTGGCAAGATTCTCACTTTATTCTCACAATTCTGAGTTGAAAGTGACATTAAACCCCTAACCCTAACGCCTAACCAAACCATAAACCCAAAACCCCAACCCTAATCCTAACCTTAAACCGAAACCTTAACCCTAACCTCAATAACCCTAACCCAGGCAATTATTTTCCCAAGGGGGCCAAATGAGAAGCAGAAATATCGTGGAGGGCCAGGGCAAAAGTTTGAAATCGCAAAGATTGCGAGCTAAGCAAAGTTGGTTTTATTTATTTAATTTTTGGTTTGGTTTAGTTTTTTGTTTTTTTTTTTGTGGCAAGGGGACTCTTTTTTTTAAATGCGCTTCATGTACTTCCGGGTCATTTTCAGGGTAACTGACAACAACATGGAGCATTTTCAACCGTTGGCGAGTTTAATGGAATTTTACTCTGAAATTGGCCTGCAATACAAAGACATTAAATCTGCTCTTGATCTGAAATACAACGTCCAAGTCCTCCCCCATTATTCTCTCCTTCCCCGAAGTAGTGTCATCTCTCAATCAGCTACGCATGAGTCTACGTTAACCAAGCTAACCCGGAAGTACATAAATGCACATTTTCTTTTTAAAAGCGTCCTCTTGCAAAAAAAAAGCGTTGTCTCGCAAACTTTGTGAGGGAACGTAAAGTTAAAAAACTTTACGTTCCCTCACAAAGTCTTCCATTTCCCCTTAGGGGCTCCGTAGTGGGGTATTACGTGAAGGCGAAAAAATAAAACTGAGCCTTGCTCTTGCCAATACGGTAATGACGTAACACCACCCCGCCCCCCTCATCTCAACCGCTAAGCGCTACTTGTCGGCCAGCATTTTGGCGCAGTTTCGCTTCAAGCTAAACAAAGGGCACCTGGTTATTTATTTCAATTTTATTTTAATTGCAAAATATTTTCATCCTCTAAAGCGTTCACGATGAGCTCGATCAACGTCAAAAAGCTGAAAGTAAACGAACTGAAGGACGAGCTGAAAAGGCGTCGTCTCTCCGACAAGGGACTGAAGGCCGAGCTGATGGACCGCCTACAGGCCGCCTTGGAAGAGGAGGCCGCGGAGGCCGCGGCCTGCGAAGAAGCGGGTGCCGAGGAGGAGGATGAGGAGTTGGAACAGGCCGCCGAACCGGAGTGCATGGGGGAAGAAGAAGAGGGAGAGGGAGAGGGTCCGGTAGTCGAAAGTATGGAGGCTAACGAGCAGGAACCCGAAGTAGAACAGAACGGGGCAAACGCCGACGGCGACGTCGCTGACGCTGTTGCAACTACTACTACTACTCCTGTTGTTGTTCCTGCTGCTCCTGCTTCTGGCGAGGACGAGGAGATGGGAGACGGGGAAGATGACGACGAGATGGATCCCATGCTCAAGCCAGACGTGGACGACATGGAGAAAATAGACGAAGACGACGGTGAGCCAGAGGAGCAGACAGCTGAGGGTGAGTCGCCTGAATTGATCTCGTGGAGAGGTCTTTTTTTCTCCCCTGCTGTAACCCACCGCGGCGGAGAGCTGGTTCGGATAGAACGTTCCGAGCGCCCATGTTGAGCTTGACGGCGTGACCTTAAATACGCTAAGCGTTAGCTTCAGGGTGACGCAGTTTTGCTAATACAGACGTTTGCACAATGAGCTAAACAATAACATTTCATACCGTTAAATTCTCGTTTTAAGTATAACGTACAGTCGAGCTGCGTAAAACATCAACACGAAATCGTTGAAGAGGTGACCTGGTACGTGACTTAGCTTGTTTGCTCGCTAGCGTCATTGTCTTTGTCTGGGAGCGCCGATTAAACGACGGGCGGCATAATCGGTTTCTGCTTTGGGAGTTGCGAATTTGACCCCATGCTCTACATTTCTGAGTGACCATTTTACGCTATTTTAGCAGTAGCATGTTAGCATTCGCACCTTGATATCTGCCGCCGCTGTCGCAATATATTTGCGCAAAAGTCATGAGCTGTTAAAATACTTTGTGTATAAATTGTGTGAAAGACGAAAAGGCGCTGTAAAATTCCTTTATTTAGCGCGTGTTTACGTTATCCGTGGTTCGACGAATTAGGACGTTAAAATGGGCACTTTACAACTCTAAGCCGCCATTTTAATTCTGCCTAAGCTATGGAAGGACCGGGGTGTCAGGGCAGTTAGCAGGCTCACATTTCCTTGCATGATGCATTACCTTCAAAGTACAGTGTACTTGTCCCACACTAGCTTTAATTTGTACCATCTGTAGGGACATTGTTCTCATTTTAATACACGAAATTGTTTTCCCAGCCCCACCACCTCTACTCTTAAATGTGCATTTTTGGACCAGCTTGCATTGTAATTAGACTCTGGTCATCACAATTGTATTTTCATGATTGTACTCTTGTGTCATAACATGAGGTGTTCCCACATCTTTATCTTATGATGGTCGACTATGTAACTGACTGAACGGGCTTTGTGGGCCAGAACCCCACTGCCAGTCCGACCTCTCTCAAAGGAGCACCTCATTATATATCTTTGTTCTATTTTCAAAGGGGATGCGGACAAAGACACGAATGCTGATCAGAAGAATAAGAAGGGTGTTAAGAGACGCCGGGAGGAACATGGAAGGGGCTACTTTGAATTTATTGAAGAGAACAAATACAGCTGGTAAGGATGGGACAGAGCAAAATGGCCTTCAGCATCCCTGAAGTGCCATCCTAGCTTTGTTTTGTATTGGCTTTAAGTGCCGATGCACATATATTTAGCTAGCCTTTCAAGAACATTTTATCAAGAAATAACCACTTTCTCACCTGTTTTGGGGACTATCTATCCCTGACTGCTCAGAGAACCTTACCATTTATTAATATTTGATACATTGTTTTAAAATGCTCTGCAATTCTGTAGCAGGAGTGACTCTCGAAAGTCAGCTTTAAATCTGCTCCTCTGAAAACTTAATGTTTTGCCAAGCCAGTTGTGTCCCCAAGGTGATTCAAGGCTGCTCACCAAGAATCCAGAGGAATGTAGCAGATGTACACAGTGCACTCAATGGAGGGGAGGGTCTGACTGGGGTCGTAGCTGAGAAATGTGGGAGGAGGGCAGGCACACTGTAAAAGTCTATAAACGTCCACGAAGGAACTCGCTCTTGATCGTCCATCGATTGCCTCGCAATTGTAAATAATTTTCATTGTCCCCCCCCACTCTTTGTATGATGTCGAGATGATATTTGTGTGTTTCTCTCATTGATCATGTTGCGCGTGTGTGTGCGCGCTTGTGAGATTTCATGGTGTGTTACAAGGTTTAATTTTTCAATTTTTTTCCCCCCCTGTGCTGATGACATCATGCATGGTCTGTACACATATACCTTCTTCTTGATCACTGTTCTCATTGTGTCAACCTTTGAGCGGCACAAAATCAATCTGAGTTCTAAATCGAATCATCGCACCATTGGCCTTCGACAGACCTCTGAGCATTTTAGAGTCGTCGTTTTTTTCACCTGGATGACCGATATCCGCCACTGCACCAGTATGATAATCGGATCTGAGATTTTCGAGTGGCTGTCAGTGTTTGACATTAATGATGAGCTCAAAAATTTTTCCGTGGCTCAAATGAAGTTTTTGCAGGATAACGTCATCTTTTAAGGAGCAATACTTGAGTCCACATGAACATGTTTCTTAGAACCCTCCTGTGATTTAGGGTGGGGCTCATCTTGTTACAGATTTGGTAAGTTACTGTAGCTCGTATTACTTTACATACTTTATTCAGTTAGAGTGGAACCTCCAAATGATTATTTTAGGTAACTTCAGCATTCAACGTTTCTAGTGGATCTCATGGTGGGAAAGGTCAGATGGTATAACCGTCTCCACTGTCCAGATGTTCCAAGCAACCGACACATCGGCTTACTGGAAAAAAAAACTGCTTGTGATTAAATATGTGATAACCTGGAGCTCTGTTAGGGCGATTCAATTGTTCGCTTTTAGCGCTTTTCAAGGTCCAAACGACATTGCAAGTTTTTACCTCCAGCCGTGACTGCGGTTTTCCCGTGTTGTCACTCATGCATTTAAATGCCGACTGGGAGTTCACATGCCACTTGACACCAGAGTGCCGTGAGCATGGAGTCCATTCGATAAACCCTACCAAGTATGAAGGAGTGAAAACTACCCGTTTGCCCTTCTGAAATGACTGACAGACACACGGGAGATGGAATTGGTGTTGATGCAATTTATGGTTTTCAGCAACCACCGTAAGACCTATTCACCATTGGTGATAGCGTGTTTAACACGGCATGCTAGCTAAAGATGTTTTTGAATTGATTAATTGAATCTCTCGTATTTTACAATGGCCAACACTATTCCTATGTCAGATGCTCACGTCTGATATTTTCACTTATGTTTATCGTCAATGCTTTACTTTTTGTGGTCAACCAAAACAGCTGCGGACTTAATCCTTCAGATACTCGCTGAGTGAAAGTCGCATGTGTTAACACACTCCATGCGACTGATGGTTGATGCAGAATACTTTGGTAAAATAAGGGCTCGTTCTGTGTCATTCGGCATTGGAGGTTCCACTGTGCCAACGTGTAATTCGGATTTCCAAGCCACGTCCTACAGAATGCAACAAAACAGTAAATAGACACCATTCAAGTCCTTGCGCCTCTCCGTGATATCAATATTTTCTTGTGAGGCTTGTGGTGGTGCTGTTGTCTTTCTTACATTTAGATTTCACTGGCTGCTACAAGGTAAGTGTCTGTCCAGGATCACAATATGCACCACTGCCCATGATGGGTTGGAGGCTTGCTCATGTCAAATATTCCCCCACCCGCACTTCTTTTCAGCAAGTGGTGCCCATGCATTTCAAATGACCATCATCATCCAACTGAATGTGTTTGGTCTTTTTTTTCCCCTCGCAGGGCCTCATTTAAGTCACCCGTGCCCCCCTTGGAGGAAGAGGATGAAGAGCTTGATGACACCAAAGTCTGCCTGGACAACTGTGAGTCATTGGAATAAGAAAAATAACTGCAACTGTTGAATTAGTCTTTGTAGTTGACAAGGGAAGGAAATATAAATGTGAGTCTGTACTAGTATTAAGTCCACCCTACCATTTTGGATTCCACTGTGAAAAACCCCCCATCCCTTCCCCACCCCATATTTCAAAGAACATAACCCTGCTCTGCCATTGACAGGGAAATATGACTCAGAGGGAATACCATGACAGAGCACAACTTGTAAACAATAGGGCGATCGGCTCCCCAATGTCGCGTTTGCCGTTGAGGACGACACACTGCACTTTCTCTATTGCCCACAATTACACACTTTCTGTGATTGGTTATTTCATTTTTGGAAGCTCGCAGTCGCTCCTAAAAAATCCTGATTCTGTAAAACCCATTTACACGTGCAAACATGTCGAAAACTAACCGTTGCCCAGTTATATTCTGTATGGAATGCAGCCCTTAATGTCTTTTGTCTTTTTCCTTTAGACAACTGCGACCTGCATTTTAAGGTGTCACGCGACCGCTTTAGTGCCTCGTCGCTCACAATGGAGAGTTTTGCTTACCTGTGGTCTGGGGGCAAGGCCACCTATGGCGTGAACCAAGGCAAAGTCTGCTTTGAAGTGAAGGTGCCGTGAGGGGGAGAATAACTTTGCCACGACCGCTGAGAAATGGGTATGTGTTCAGAAATGTAATCAACTTGTTTGTCTGGCAGATCACAGAAAAGATTCCAGTGAAGCACATTTCCAGTAAGAACATGGAAATCCATGACGTGCAGGTCGGCTGGTCGTCGTCCGCATCGTCACTGCTACTCGGTGGGTTTCCTTGTCCCGAGTTTAGCCGACGATGTTGTATCGTGGACCGGCTATTTTGTAATCCTCTGAGGCTAACGGGCCTCTTTCTGACCGGGGTGTAATGAAGGCTGGGTGACCTGTAAAATCGGTTTCGATCAGAGTACGCTTGCTGACATAATTTCTAGAAGAGCCTTTTACAATAGCTTTTCATTATAATGGAATGGTAAAGCTATTCTGAAAACACTCAAATGCGAAACACGTTTTTGGAGTCCCTTTTAGCAGTTAGGTGTCGAGTTTGTATGCGTGGTTGGGCGTTTAACATTGTTACAGTGAAAAACGCGATGCGCGTTATGCCAAATGAAAATCTTTGTGCGATCTGTATGTGCAGGCCGTCGGCCTTAAGAACCTCGAAGCAACAGCCCTAGCCGCATAAAATCACAAATTCCACTGACTTGTTCACACAGCCATCTTTGACCTTTTGAGGTGTGCGCTCTCCTGTTACGATTTAGGTGAAGGCATCCATTCGTATGCTTACTCGGGCAAGGGGAAGAAGACGACAAATTCTGTGATGGAGGACTTTGGTGAAACTTTTGATGAGAATGACGTCATCTGCTGTCTGGCCGTAAAACAATTTTTTTTTTCCCCTTACATTTTGTATTTGTGTAGTTAAATGGTTATGTTTGATCAGAGTACCTTTAAAATGGCCGACCTGTTCATAACACATATTTTTTAATTTCTAGGATTTTGACGCCGATGAGGTGGTTCTGTCCTACTCCAAGAATGGCGGGGAGCCAGCCGAAGCTTTCCGGGTGACCAAAGAGGAACTGAGCGGCCAGCATCTTTACCCTCATGTCATGTGTCACAACTGCGCCGTGGAGTTCAACTTCGGTCAGATGGAGACCCCGTACTTCCCTGTGCCCCCCGAGTACACCTTAATGCAGCAGGTTCCCCTCGACGACCGCGTCCGCGGGCCCCGCGCGCCAGAGACGAAGGCCGACTGCGAGGTAGGCTGCCAAACGGACATACGGGGCGGCCTTGACATTGCTGTTTGTGCTCACCTCTGCTCTCCACTGTTGCGTGCCGTAGATCATAGTGATGGTTGGCCTGCCAGGTGCGGGCAAGACCACGTGGGTGAAGAACCACGTCCAGGAGAATCCTGGGAAATACTATATCCTGGGAAGTGACACAATCGTGGAAAAGATGATGGTCAGTTGTGGTACACGGATACTCTTTCATAACTGCGGGGTGTCATGGCTGCAGGGTTGATCATTTTGCCTTTTAGCTCACTTGGGTAGCGCCTCAAATGAAATGAATGAAGCGACAACAACAAACGTGGCGGTATCAATAGCTGACCTTGTCTGCGACCTGAAAGTAGGAGCATGCGCTTTCAAAAACGGCACAACCTTTCCCTCACTGTGTCACAACTGTTAGTGGAGCTAAACCGAGCATGCGCTATTGATAAGAAGGACGAGCCATATCCAAAACGCGTGTCATATCTTTGTACCCATGGCATATCTGCCAGCTGCAACGCTGACCTTGCCTCAAAAGTGCAGTGTACATGTCTCCCAAACCATCATAAAAATAAAATGAAGTTTTCAGTCTGCTTATTTTTTTTTCTTCTTCTTGAATCTTGACATACAGATCAACACCCCGAATCGGCAACCAAAAGAATACAACAAACTGCTTGCCATTTCCCAGCGTGCACCTCTCTTTTTGGGAAAGTTCATCGAGATAGCCGCCCGCAAGAAAAGGAACTACATCCTGGATCACGTACGTCTCGTCTCCTTCACGTCGCCACGCGTGCTGTGTGGAACACAAACGTCAACTCTTGGCTTGCTCTCCCCCTCCAGACTAACCTGTCTGCCCCTGGCCAGAAGAGAAAGATGTGTTTGTTTGCCGGGTTCCAGCGCAAAGCTGTGGTGGTCTTCCCCTCCGAGGAGGATTACAAGGAGAGGGTTCAGAAGAAGGTCATGAGTGACGGCAAAGAAGTCCCCGAACACGCGCTTCTCAAGATGAAAGGTGAAAGAAGCCACAAGACAATTGTTCAGTCAAGTACAAGTAAAGCGAATTACGGGCAGAACATTGGGTTCTTTTTCAATACAACAGAGAAAATCATTTGAATTGGCTGGACCTGTTTTTATTTTATTTTATTTTTTTTTGGGCGGGGGGGTCCTAGTTTCTGTACTTGGACTTGAATATGGCGTGTGAATACTTGAGCCCCATCTGGAATTGTTGCTTAGTTAATTGCTGTGTTATCACTAAGCATGTTGCTGGGTTCATCTGTCACAGGCTTCTATTCTCTCCCTGTGGAGGGCGAGAGCTTCAGCGAGGTGCTGTTTGCCGAGCTGCCAAGGGACGACGCCGCCAAAGTTTTAGAAACGTACAAAGAAGAAAGCAAGAGTGCCCTGCCTGCGGAGAAGAAGCCCAACCAGGGCGGCGGCACACCCAAGCGAGGCGGTGGGTCCCGCGGCGGCGGTCGCGGAGGCAAGAACCAGTTTGGCCGCAGCGGTGGGCCCGCACAGAGGGGTGGCGGAGGCGGCGGCAGTCGTGTGGCCTACCAGAACCGAGGCAACTTCCGAGGAGGTGGGAGGAGGCGTGTTTGACGCCCAAGGTTGTTGACGGTGTCACGCGTGCCTCTGGCTGACCTTTTCTCTCTGGGCAGCCCCCAACCCCCGCGGTGGGTTCGCCCGTCCCCCTCGCGGCTACATGCCACCCCCGGCTTACAGAGGCGGCTACCCCAGCCGGGGCAGCTACAACCGCAGCGGCGGTCATATTCCCAGCATGGGCGGATCCCCCAGAGGCGGACCGATGAGAGACAACCTGGGCACCAGAGGCGGACACATGAGTCGAGGCGGTCCAATGAGCAGAGGGAATATGAGCAGAGGCGGCGGCAGCGGCGGCATGAGTCGTGGCGGAAATAGAGGACATCACAACCAGGTGGGTGCCTGCCCGTTAGCAAGCCTTGTGAACGTTCGGGAACGCTTGTTCACATGGCGTGCGTTGCTTCGCAGTTTCAGCAGAGAGGCGGCGGCCGAGGCAACTTTGGCAACAAGAACGGCAATTTCAGCAGGAATAGTGGCGGGTTTGGACACAGGAACGGCATGGACAAGGCCCAGGCCTTCAACCAGAGCTGGCAACAAGGGGTCAGTGTTTGTCGCTTACTCCTCAGCCATTCAAGCATCGCTAGCGCTAGTTTCTAAACAAGTCTCTCTTTGTGCAGTTCTGGAATCAGAAGCCGTGGAATCAACAGTATCAGCCCAGCTATTACTAAGACACTTGTTCTAATGGACTGGTGGCCACACTGAAAACCACTCTAGCCACGGATCATCATCCCATCCTCCATCAAGAACGCCAGAATCTGCGGGCTAAAGACGAGCAACGTGGTCAACATTCCACTCCAGAGAGAGACCAGCCGCCGTGAATTAATTGATGTTCTCTGAAGTTTGAGAGACACGTGTACAACATGAATTTGTTTTTCTTATCTTTTGTTGTATATTTCTTTTGCTTTCCACCACTTTTAAGACATGCTTTTTAAAAGAAAAAAAAGTTTGTAATATCAGGAACCAGAAACTTTTTTCCCAGTGATGTGCATTTTTTCCCCCCCATTTCTTTTGTTTTTGTTTTATTCTGAACTGTAAATATTTGTTTTGAGTAGTTGAAGAATTCATTCTCATTGTGGCTTCTGAAAAATATTAGTGTCCGTTGTGCAGTTAACACGAAGCCTCAGATAAATCCCTGTTTCAGTCTCTTGTTCTCACTTCCAAAACTGTAAACCATCTTCGTAGAGCTCCAATAAACACAATTATGCTTGTTTTCTCCTGGCTTATAATTGATGTTCAAAGGTGTAAACGACCTTTGACTGGCCCATTTTGGAGAGATTTACTCCGACCCTTGTTGCTGTTCTCTGATTTCGCCTGTTGAAATATGCACTGAATGGTGAAGCTATTTGAATCTCTCGGAATGAACAATGTTGTTTTGGCTGTGCCTTTTACGACCCCCTCTGTACATTTCTTTGATTATTTAAGACTCTCATGGCAGGCCGCTGTTTTCTGCGGTCCTGAGCAAATGTGACCGCCCCAGAAGGATGCTTGTGATTTGGCTAACCAGCTGATTGAAATGCAACGGAAACGTAGCCAACACTTTCAAATCAAAAGTAGTACTTCACCCCAATATGAATTTTGCTTGCGCTGGTATTTGCACGTTGGCAGTGTAGCGGCGGCGATAGCCGAGTGCAGATCCGGGAGTACATTTTTCACCAGCAAATAAGGGCTACGCAGTGCGTGCATTTCAAATCTTACACGAACAAGTCATTTTGGTCGCAAATATCATTTCGGCCTTTCTCCATGGCTTGACAATAATAGCCTGCTTCCCTCCTCGTAATTTCAGATTTCCTGACTAAATCTTTTTGTTTGACCCCAAGGGATCTGAGTGCTCCTGTTTTGTGATATAGTTAGTTTTAGTTTGCCGCAGTACTGCCGTGCTCTACTTTTTTTTTTTTTTCATTTCTTTTGTTGCCGGTTGTAAATCAGGTCCTGTATTAAACCAACCATGCTGCAGCTTGTCTTTTGTATCCTAACAGATTTTTTTTTATGTCTCAACTCTATTAAAGTCAGATATGGTTGTGAAATTTGATGTTTGTCACTGCCTAATTCGTCATCCTTTGATGGTCATTATTCCAATTTGAAACTTATTACCACAAAACGCCGCAACTTCACCCAGCAAATCAACCCGTGCATCCAACAGAAAGCAATGCAGCTCTGCTTACCTTTTGGCTTTGACATAATAGCAGGTTCATCACACCTGTTGGGGAAGTGGGTCTTTCTGAAGTGTGGCACTTCAGTCACGCGTTAGATTTCATATTTGTCGGAAACGAATCAGATTAGAATTACCAGTATTTCCTACTGGACAAATGGCGGTGATGTCATAGTTTTCGTCACACACGAAGCACCTACCTTTCAGAGCCACAAGAGGGCGTATTTAGACGGTAGAGAAAAAAATGTCAATCTGAACAGATTTCATAATGCTTGGTGGTCTCGTTGTTGACAGATACATTTTTTTAGACGGTGCACATTTAAAAAAAAGAAAATGGTTGTAATAATTTATTTTGAGTGCTCCCCTTCCTGATGTGATGGACTTACTCCAGGAGTAGGGAACGATCAGCTGATCAGCAAATTCTGTAGAAGCCTGACAGGAACATGATCAATTGAATCAGGTGTGTTGGAGTAAGGAGGGATCTAAAACAGGCAGGATATGGCTCTCGAGGTGCCGGAGTTCCCTACCCCTGGACAACTCCCTCTTCACAGTCCTTCATGCAATGATTTGCGTGAGTAAGATGGCCGCAAAACAAACTTGTCGAATTGTCATCATGCATGTTAAATACACTGATGGCTTTGCACTTATATTTGGTCAAGGAAAAATGTTTTCCCCCCAGCAGACTGAAAAAGAGTTGAAAGGATTCAGAAACGATGCAGAAGTAGCAACATTCCTGCTCGCCAGCTATTTTGATCATGCCTTTAGGATTTTTTTCCCCTTTTGTTTTGGTCATTAATTGTACGTTGCCAAAAATGAAACTTGAAACAAATAAATACAGGGCTCATGTTAGCTTAGCGTTGCTATTTTGTAGAAGCTTGCATGTCTGGGTTTGCCCTGGGCCTTCAACTGACTACATACACCACCGAATACTATTCTACACCCCCGCGCACTTCAACCACACTCTGAAAGGGGAAACAGATGGAGCTCTTTTTCGTGGGGTCTCGTTATAGGTTCCCGTTGAGTATATTCATATTTATGAAATGTTCCAGTGACTTTCATAGCACCAGCTGCTTTCCTTCTTTTGACCTCCCGCCGTTGCCGGAGGGGTGAATCCACTTCCCTTGCAGACAGACAGTTCCTCTTCGTTGGTAGGTGGCCTCTTGGCTTCGTTTACCTCCGCCAGCAGCATATTAGGGAATGACAAGCCCCCCTACTCAGACAGCAAACAATGTTTTCGGTATGTTTGGCCCTGTCTAAGCCTGACATCAACTCACGAGGTCTCCCACTAGGTTCATGCGAAGAGCCTGCGTGTTTCTCCCTATGTGGCCAGGTAGCTCGTCCCCACTGCAAATAAGGCGTGACAAGAAATGTTGTCCAGGCGACTGTTTGGAATTGCGCGTGAATGTGAATGCTTAAGCTAAGTAGCGGAGTGCACGAGTGCTCTGTTCCACTCCCCCACCCCCCTGGAAAAAAATCTTAGGTTCATGAATTGAGGACTCAAGACATTTTAGTGAAAGAAAATAGTTTATTTTACCAAACATAAATTCATTCATATTTTATGTACAACACGTGGGCCAGAATTTGAATGGCTGCATGCAAATTCAAAATAAAAAATGATTTCAACCTGTACAAAATATATATAAAAAAAGTGCTCTCTAGAGGAGTGTGTGGTGACTCCCGGGTGATTGTCCGTTTAAATAGGAAGTACTTGTTAGAACCCTTTAAATATGTGATGAAACAGCGTTCGATTAGACCCACATATGAGACTAGTATTGCTGCTTCCCTTAGGTTGACTTTACACGATGGAGACATGGTCCATGGTGCACGCGCACCTCTCCACGATCATGTTGGGAAACTCTGCCACTTCGATCTCGGTGTAGTCGCCCTTCTTGACCAGGTACATGATGGGCAAGGGGGCGCTCTCCGACACCGTGCACCTCCTCTCCCCGTAGCCGTAGTTACGCTTGGGCTGCCTGCAGCCTCCGGTGCACCTGAAGGCCTGGTACCCCGCCGGCTCGATGATCCAGTATTGCGTCCACGTGAGGGCGCGGAAGTCGACGAAGTACTGCTCCCTGCAACAGGTGCCCTTGCTCTGGTTCGCATCGCAGTCGCCGCGAGAGCTGCAACGCAAAGATAAGAGGCAGGTTAGATGATCGCTGTTCTTCCTGATTGACGTGTCTTTGAATTTTGATCGTCACATAATGAGTCACATGGGTCGCTCGCTACGCCATGTTCAGGTTTTTTTTGTTGGGGTGCCCCCCCCCCAAAAAAAAACATCTTATAAACAGAAACAGGTCTAAGTGATTGGGGGGGGGGGGTTTGCTGCATTTCATTTCCTTTCCTATGTCAGTCACGTGACCGCGAATTGGATGCAAATCAGAGAGCATCATCTCTCACTGCTACTAATACTAAAACAGTTTGTGAAAAATATTTGTGTTCCAAATATTTCAAGTCCATGAATTAAGCGATTACCATAGGGAAAAAAATATTAGAATAGAAAATATGAAGTACCGTGCTAAACGAGGGTTGTAAAATGGTAAAAAAAAACAAAGAGTAAATACACCTGACGAGGTACTTCTACGTCTTTTGTCGACGTCCCATGCAAGAAATGAGTTTGCCATTGCTTGTTGATTTATTTAAATTCAACTTGAACACGAGTACTGACACCTTGAGTTCCCATGCAAGGGGTGCAAAAGGTGACAGGTAAACACCCCTCACAATACAAAAAAAAAAAAAGTTGAGTTTAAGCAGGGGGGGCTGGGGGCCCGTGGGCTAATTGTCACATCGCCACAATATCCTGTATATCAAAAGCCGGCGCCCTTACCCGTACTCTTCGAGGTTGAGTGTGTAGAGGACGAGCTCGGGTTTGCCCAAGGTGTTGTCCGTCTGCTCCTGGGTGGTAAAGCGCACACTTTTCGCCACCTCCGCCGCGTAGCTGCCAGGTCTCTCGCCCTCGATCCACACCTCCAGGTGCATGGGCGTCTTCTGCTCTTGAGTCTTCGACCAATAATGCACGGCCTGGGTCACATCAAAGCTCTTCCAGCCCGTTTCGTGAATGGGGATCAACCTGTGAACGCCGGGCGATGCTTAATTAGATTTCCTGATGCAATTCGACATGTAATTAGGGCTCGAGATAACCAACAAAAAGGGTAGATTTGGATTGAACGTCTCACCGCGAGTCCACGAGCGAGCTGCGGTTGGATCCGTTGGCCAGCTCCTCGACCCAGTAGATGCTGACTCGGGCGTTGCTGACGGGCCGGTGGTTTCTCCTCTCCGCCGCGAGTCTCTTGGAGTACGACGCCCTCTGGTAGAGTTTCAGCTCGGCCATGGTCACCTCGCTGTTATCCGGGATCATTGACTCCATATCGAAAACCATTCGATGCCGAGTGGTGTCGGAGTAGACATATTCACCGGAAATGTCTACCATGATGATAAAAAAACAACATAAAGAATCGAGGAATCGCCTTATTTAAGATTCGTGCGTAAATTACGCACCCAAAACGAACGGATTTTTTTTTAGGGTCTAAATTCTTAATGTGTCGAATTATGAATTGCAAATTCTTACCAGCATTGCCGGGAATTCCTCTCAGAATGCCGGCCAGGCTCGGCACAGATCGGCGTCTCCTGCTGTGGTGCATCTTCAGCATTGACAAGTATTTGTTTCTGACGTGAGTTGGGACAACCAAGTTCTGCAAATCCCTCTTGTGGATCTTTGGAACCTCGTTCAGGCCCAGTTTGCGCAAAAGCGCCTCCTTCATATCCTGGTGCGTAAAAGCCTTGGTCAAGCCGAGGAAGACGGTGCACAGCACACACGCGCGGAGGAAATCCATGAGGAAGGTCTTCGCGGGGGAAAAAAAAAAGGGTGATAAGCAGCCGCACAGTAGCACGAGTCAAGCCAGAGATGGACAGTGGCCCCCTTTTATATGTCGCGGCCCTCCCAGTTGTTCACACTATGGGGGCAGGGAGCCTTATCAGAACAAAGGTGCGACAATGCAAGGCCCCCCCATCCTAAACAGGATATCTAAGTGGCCGTACTTCAAACAGCAACAATTAGACTCCAGTGTCATCATGAGCGAGTGTAATTTCTCTCCTCCGTTGCATTTGATGTCAGTATTTAGGAGTCTACAAGGAAATAAACTCATTTGGATTCACCTCAAAATCGGTGACGTTCATATATATGGATGTAGATTGTTGAATCGGATCTCACAGCACGGAGTTGTTGGTTTTTTTTTTTTTTAAACAGAAAGCAGAACTTACTGGGGTGATAGTACCGGCAAGCATAATGCGTTTTAAACGTTGATTCAGCCACTCTTGTGTTTGGTTTTATTTTCATCGTTTTCGCAAGGAGGTAATGGTGTGGTGGCTCACTCACTTGAACTGTATGCAACCCGGGTTAAATTCCTACTCGGTTACAGCGTGAACATGAATGTGAATGCTTGTCTATAGCTCTGCAGTATGTGCCCTGTAATTGACTGGTGTCGGTGTGGCCAAGCCTTTCGCCCAAACTCAACTTGGATCTCGACTTAGCGAGGATGAGCGCCACAAAATGGATGGATGGATGGTTCTTATTGTGTCTGTTCCAGCTGTGCCCCAGACAGACCTCACAGATCTCTTGACCCCGTGAACCCGGAGTGCCCCCTCTTCACCATAGCACCCTTGTCTGTACACACACCCCAAACTCTGATGTGTACATTCCACCGGACGATGTCAGGCCCGGGACAGTCTGGCAACAGTCTGTTACACAGCGGTTTTATTTTTGGCTGTCTGAGGAGCTGTTGTTTTGTCCAAGTGGGCGAAAACCGGGTCATCCGGTCCGTGCCCAGCATGCAGCATTCAATTTGAGGTTTTCCCCAGAGGAGGAAATGCAAGGCAGCATGGGAGGGGAAGAGCTTTAGGATTCGATGTATATTCCAAACCCCGTCACCCATTCTTGGTCCTCTCCCTGGCAGATTAAAATTATTAGCCAAACAGACAGTTAATCCAAGAGCCGGGGGGGCCGGCGAGGGATGTGGATTGGGGCAGGCTCTTCACAGGTTGGTGATTATCTGATTCCATTGCGAGGATTTGCCTTGCCTTTTTTGTCACACAAACATTACAAGAGGGCCGCTCTCACTGGCTGCCCACAAGGACCTGCCCGCGATTGTGTATTGGCCTCTGTTTGCTTAGAGATGTCAGACAGACTGAAGAAGCACACAGGAAGAGCAAATGACAGATGACCGCCAGGCCTGCGGCCTCCGAGCGGGCGCAAGTCGGATCCTCATACTTCCCGGCATATATGAATCGCTCGAAATGAAAGAACATGCGTAAAGCCATTCGTGAGAACCAAGTTCACTATGAGGGAGTTCTTTATGACGCTTTATAATTGGATAGGTTCCATTGTGCCACCAAGCACAGGGCATAAAATATTCGGCAGTCGGTATTGGAGAAAACATGAAAACTAGCGTAATGGCTTTCAATGTTTCTAAATACTGCATAGGAATACCTGTCGACACAGTAGCATTCAATTGTGCAATGGATACTGCTGAATAGGTATTCCTAACTGATTTGAGATGTTTACAAAGAGTTTTTTTCGGTCATTATTTACCTATTGTAAGCCATGTATAAATGCAATATAAATACTTTTTTTTTTTAAAAATGGTGGTGGATCTTGATGTTTGTGCAGGCACCTGTTTGGCAATTTGGCATACTGCTGTGCAGCACACTGGGTGTTCTGGCATTCATTCTGCATTTTATGTAGAATTTTAATTAATGGGCCATTCATCGCAGTGTACAAAATGTGTGAGAAAGAAATACACTACAGCATAAGCAAAGCAAAGAATATATATATAT